GCCCCTTGTCCCCAGGGCAGCTTGGGGGGGGGGGAGTTGCTTGTTTAACCCACAGCCGAGGACAGGTCACGTGTTCCTACCACCCCTCGGTGGGCACGGCAAGCAGCTCCCTCCGCTGCAGAGGAAGAGTGAGCAAACCATCAGGCAGCTTGTGGTGTAATTAAATTAAAAACTCGTTTTTCTGCCCAGCCGAGGCTGTAGGCTCAGTCCAGCTTCCCCAGGCTTCTCCACTGCTGGGGGGAAGCCCCGTAATTTCAGTCAGACTTGGGAAACACATGTCTAAAAACCACTGGAAGTACAGCTAGCAAATTTCTATCTTACACTGGATTACTTTAAAATTAGACAGTATTACACTTTAGTCCTTTCCCTCCCTCTGAGCTATGGAAGTAATATAGCAAGCTCTTGGCTAGTTACAAGTTTTATTACAAATAAGCATTTAATGACTGAGTCAGTTGCACAGTTTTGGCCAAAACAAAAACATTTCAAAAGAAAACAAGAGTTGTGCTACAGATAAGGAATGATCTTGCACTGCTAGAGGAGCAACCATGTCCTGGCCAGTGTCTGTCCAGTACGGAGAACATCTTGACTTGGTCGTTTTCTGCAGAACTGTTATAATTGGCACACACGACAAACGCTCAAAGCTTTCAGGGCTAAAAGCAGCTTTACAGCATATATTTAAAATAACTGAGGGATAAAACAAGAGGGGCTGCGTAAAAGATCACTTAAGGTGAGACAGGACAGTGTTTAAGTTTGGCATCAGACAAGACGGGAATTAGTACTCAGCCAGGCTCAAGACATACGGCTTTCTCCAAACTGTAATGAACTAAAGGGTTCTAAATATACAACACTTTGGACAACCAAGATGCTTTCTTCCTTTCTTCTAAATTACCAAAGACCGAAAACTGCCTCGCTTACGTTGCAGCAAGAGGCAGGGAAAAACCAAAAAAGGTGAGTGCATTTCCCATGCCAGGACTGCAAAGCTGAGCTTGTCCCCCTAGGACAGCAGCAGACATCTAGGAACCAAAGCGAGTAACACTGCAGGCAAATTGCCAAGCCTCTCCCTCAGGAAACAGCACTTTGTATTGCATCGGATGCGGGGTGCATGGCTCCGCCGTATAAAAAAAGCCAACGGAAGGCTCCACTTCCAATCAACGAAAAACAGCACCACGAACTGTTCAGTCCAAGGCAAATCACAACGGGAGCTTTTAAAGGCAGCATCAGAAAGTAGTTCACTTTCTGTTCTGTACCTCCCCCTTGATTCAAGGAGTTGAAATTTCCCAGCCCAAGAAGCAGCACCAGCAAACACTGGCATAGGAAGGGCTAACAGCTACGCCTCCTTTCAGGCAACCATGGCCCTTCCTGGCAGTTTTGCTTTTTGTTTTTTCTTTCTTTCACGTGATCCCAGTTAATTGCATCCCTGCAGCGTGGCGTATCACAGTCAGAGCTGATCATGTTCCAGATTAACTCTTCTATTCCAGGAAGATTTTCCTGGTTAAAAGTTCATTGCCGGCAATGAATGCACCAAGACCACCAGTGCCAAACATTTTTAAATACTACTGAAAAGAACAAAACATCCCCCTTCCCTTCCCCCTCCCCCCCCAAAAAAAAAAAAAAAAGACTGCATAAAGCCGAACAGACCCATCCTCTGCAGCACAGCACAGCTCAAGGACTGAGCAAGCCCCCAAAATCTAGTTCATCCATATAATTTCACCAGGAAGTAAAAAGACTGCTGAGGGAGCAGAAAGGCTGGAGAACGCAACTCAACTGTCAGTGTCCAAGATACAAACTCATGCCAGCATCACTGGACATTAGGAAGGAAGCGTGCACCTGGATTCTCACACACACATCAAATCCCATACCCAAAATTTACTTTCTCTCTCCAAGGTGGTGCTAACTGAAGAGTCTAGAGGTGCACGTGCTGTGACGAGCTCTCCTCCAGAAACAAACAGAATCTACACAGAAAATAAAGGAAGGACAGAAGAGTTGAGAAAATAGAGGGACAGGATTTCCTAACAAAAATTATAAAACCATAACTTAAGAAAAGCCCAAAGCTGACAGTGTTCAAGCTATTGCTGTAAGAATGCCTGGCAAATCGAATGAAGACTCTTCTCTTCAGCGACGACATCTGGAGAGAGACAGAAAGGAAAGGAACAGGAATTATGGACAGTGAAGGGCAAGGCTGGAACTGCCCAGCACACTGAAGCCTGAGTCTTGCATACATCACCCCAGACAGAGGTAACATGGGACCTGGCAATGCTCTCCTCCCAGGATAGATGTCTGTTAATTTTACAGGGGCCCTATGGCAACTTTAAGACCAGCATGTTACACCTGTAAGAAAGCAAACTTGTTCTAGAAGCTGATTTTTAAGTACAATGTAGGGAGTGAACACTGTTAAGCTAAGAATTAACTTCATGCCCTTCCCAGCACTGCCCATGGCTGGTACCAAATGAAAATGTTAAGTTGCAGCGATTAAGAGAGGTGAGCTGAGCTGTGCACCGGCAGGGCAGTCAGCCAGAGAGACACACACCACACGCCAGCATCACCTTCCCTACAGCCTCTTCATTTGGGGATGGCCTCCAAGCCATCGGGTATCAATGCAGCACCCAGACTGGTCGCATTAGGGAGCACACAGGATACGCAGCAAGCCAGAGGCTCAGAGTATCTTCAGGAGGATAAAAATTTACAGGGAGGATTCTTCAGCTTTTAGTTTGCTACAGTACCAGATCTGGAACAACCCAGCCCCCAGCGATCCCAGCTCTCTTTGGCACTGCAAAGGCCCAGTTCCCATGACCAGGGGTGGGGAAGTGCATCTGTGCTAGACTGGGGCTAACCCTCATTTTCACTCTGCAGTTAAATTTTGGAAGCATCTGTTACATGAAGGAAAGAGGGAGGAAGGAGGAGTTGGGCATCCTTGGTCCCCTAGCATTCAGCAACAAACCCCCGCTCTCACTCGACATGTGTGTGCACAAACGCTGCTCTAAACACAACACACAACCCCCGCCAGACCAGTAGGAAAGCGCTGCCTCCATGATCACCTACCGCACAAAGGGAGAACGCATTTCACTGTTAAGTCTGCCCTTCCTGCTGGTGAGGCCCAAATGCCAGGTTTTAGTGATCCCCCTCCAAGGCTGGATGACACACACCCAATTTTCACATCCTAACCCCTGCAGCAGCTATGACAACTCAGAGCTCAGGTCCACTGGTTTGACAGAGAAACTCACTGTCTCCAGAGATGGGGAGAGCAGCCATTTCAAAAGTGTTCTTTGGCAAAGTTGAGAGACTGCTCCCAAAATACCAAACTTCTTGAAATCCAGCAACCCCTTGCTCAGCTTTGCCTCCATTTTCGGGAATGTACATCTATGCTTTGTTTCTTTGTCTGAATTTAATCTCAAACTCCTGTGTGTATTTTTGCACTTTATTATGTGTCAATTTGCTAAGGAAATACCCACCCACATCTGCTACACAGACACGAGGTATTCTGCATCCCTCAGCACAGCTGGAACACGTCCGTGAGCACCAGCACTTTTCATGGTGTGCCAGTTTTCTACCAACCGATGTGAAACATTCGGATGTCAGGAGGAAAGACTGGGCAAGGAATTTTTTCCATAAGGAAAGAGGTTGAGGTTGTTAAAAGTTACCGGGAATCAGTCATGATTTACTGATGGGAACTTCAGCTCTGTTATCTCCAAGTCAGGTGAGCTGCTGCCACTTCTGTCGCTGTAGGTGTCCCTGCAGAATTCAGAAAGATTCTGTTTGATGGAGTGCAAGTGCTTTATAGATGTAGTTTTGCATCAGGAACGAGTAGAGTTTGGTAGCGAGTACTGAGCTGAGGTTGAAAAGCAAAATAACACAATATTCCTGGTGTAGCTGTCCTTTTGGAAAAAGGGCTGAGTCATCATCAGTTTTACGGTTTGTGAATTGAAGTGATTACACATATAATAGGCATTTCACAAGGCAAAGTTATTCTAAAGGAAATTCAAGAAACAGGAGCTAGGAGACTGGTTAGCCACCCGTAAGCCATTCTATTTCCGCTTCCCAGTAACAGCTGATTGCCTTTAATCCATTAAACAGCTTTTTCAGAATCACAAAGTAATTCAGATCAGAAGGGACCTCAGGACTTTATCCAGGCATGTTCTGACATTCTCCAATGACAGAGACTGCACAGCCATTCTGGGCAACCTGCACCAATGTGTGATTGATCTAAAGGTGAAAAAGATTTTCCTTATATCCAGTCAGAACTTCTCTTATTTCAGTTTAGGTCCATTGCGTCTCATCCTCCCGCCATACACTTCTGTAAAGATACTGTTTTTATGTTTTTGATAAATGTTTTTGTAGGTGCCGGCAGGCTGCTCTTAGGTGCCCATGAAGTCTTCCCTTCCCCAGGCTGAACAAGCCCAGCTCCTTCGACCTCTCCTCCCTGAGCAAGCACTCTAACCTCCTGACCTTAGTGGGCCTCCACTAAACTCTCCAATTTATCAATGTTTTACTCATACTGGGAGACCCTAAACCGCACAGAATATTCTAGATGTGGTCTAACAAATGCCAAGTAAAGCAATATAATCACTTCTCTCCATCTACTGGCTGTGCTCCTACTCAGCCCAGGACACTGTCTTTCCTTTGCTGCTGGTTCATGTTCAGTTTGCTGTTCCCCATGACCTGGCTAACAAGAACCTTATGAAGTTCAACTCTGACAAGTGTAAGGTCTTGCACCTGGGAAAACATAGTCCAGGAAAGCAGCACAGACTGGGATCCACCCAGCTGGAGAGCAGCTCTGTGGGAAAGGACCTGGGGGTGCTGGTGGCCAGGAAGCTCCATAGGAGTGAGCAGGGTGCTGCTGAGGCCAAGGAGGCCAACTGGGTGCTGGGCTGCATCAACAAGGGCACCACCAGCAGAGATAAAGGAGTCATCATCCCACTCTGCTCAGCACTGGTCAGGCCACACCTGGAATCCTGTGTGCAGCTCTGGTCCCTGCTGTACAAAAAAAGATGTGGACAGGCTGGAGGGGTCCAGAGCAGGGCCCCCAAGATGATCCAAGGGCTGGGAGGCCTCTCTCAGCCATATGGAGATGGGCTGAGAGAGCTGAGTTTGTTCAGCCTTGAGGAAAGGAGGCTCAGAGGGGATCTCATCACCACGTACCAGTACCTAAGGGGAAGCTACAAGGAAGATGGAGACTCCCTTTTCATAAAGAGTCACATGGAGAGGACAAGGGGCAATGGACACAAGCTGCTCTTGGGGAGATTCTGACTGGACATGAGAGGGAAATGTTTCCTCATGAGAACAGTCACCCATTGGAATAATCTCCCAGGGGAGTGGTTGACTCCACCACATTGGGCACTTTGAAGCCTCAGCTGGACAGGGTGCTGGGCCGTCTTGTCTAGGCTGTGCTCTTGCCTAGAAAGGTTGGACTGGATGATCCTTGAGGTCCCTTCCAACCTAGGATTCTATGATTCTCTGATTCTCAGCAGAGCTGCTCCCCAGCTGCTGAGTCCCCAGGCTGTGTTACTGCGAGGGGTTCCCAGCACAGGACTCCGCTTTGGTCCTTATTAAGCCTCATCAGGTTCCTCTTGGCCCACTCCTCCAGCAGTCCCATCCTCAACCATACAGTCCATTCCCCCCAGTTTGGTGTCACCTGCAAACCTCATGAGAGTGCAGTGATGGGACTTACCTGAAAACATGGTAAGAGTTACAAAGGACGGGAGTACAGGGGAGCACAGGCTGGGCTGTAACTGCCACCAATATTTTTAGATTATATGCTAAACATGAAACGACCTGTGACCACAATCACAAAAGACTCCAGCAGCAGATCATACTAACTCAGGATGCTGCACTAGAGAGGAAGCTTCAGCTCCTCTGCTGTGAGAAGCCATTTCAAACTCCAATGTGCAAAAGCAGGAAATTAAAATATCCCTCATCACTTGGAGCACTGAAACGAGGCATCTTCCCAGAGAACCTCTCTTCAGAGCAGATCAGTCAGAGCACAACTGACAGCTGCTCTCCAGACATCCACACAGGAATTACTGTGGTGCAGCTGCACTGCAGCTCAACCCAGGAAGGCCAATACTTTCCTTTTTGCATCGCTTTAGTTTAATACATTCAGTGCTATTTCTCTTCTGCATTTAGTTTGGGGTTTTTTGTTTAGTGCACTCCAGCTACATAAGCAAATCCTCTGTGTTCTCCTCTATAAGGAGGAAAATGGGTCACTATCAAAGCAATGCATATTTGTTGCATGTTGCCACATCTGCTGAACAGAACCGCAGGGTGTTAGGCAGCCACAGAAAGAATTAAAGGTACCATTAAGTCTACCCAAAACCTCAGTTGCTTTGCAAACTGAGACAAAAAAGCTTAAGCCAGCAGAAAAAAAAAAAACGAAGCTGCAACCGCTAGGGCCCATTCTTTAAACCGGTAATGGGAACAAGCTGCTTAAGGGAACGTGGATAAAACCCCACGAGGTCTCCAGTCACCTAAAAGACCAGGCCCAGCTGCAGTTTCCCCGAACACCTCTGACTGACAACACGAGACTGCATATGGGACCTGGCTGAAGGCAGCTCTGTGGCACTACAGTCAATCTTAAAATGCAAGACAAGAGGTTTCAGAGGAAGAGAGGAAAGAAGAGGTGCTGCAAATACCTCCTAGGTACCCCCCAGTAACGTTGTGCCAAGAGGATTCTCCTGTTTATCCTGTAGGAGGAAGCACTGCCCTGTGAGAGGTCTGACTGACTGGTGTCTTCCTTCAACCTACCTGGGTGAGAGCCTGCAGCCCTTTTGTAGATAATGCGTGAGTCTTCCTGCAGACGCCAAGAGGAGGCCAAAGTATGGGGGAGATGGCTTAATTGGTCTAGAGAGGAACTCGGGGTGATACTGAACACCAACAAAGAAAGGATGCTCTAAGAGAAAGAAACAGAAAACATTAATGTCATGTCTCTTAAGCCTGTGGCTCAACTGCAGTTGAAAGCACTGATCAAGCCCTGGTGATGGGGAAGCAGTGTCATTTCTATCCTGCCTTTTGTCCCTAAATGGACAAGCACATGGGATTCTTTTTTTAGTGTCATTTTATGGACAAAATCATTCTTGAGAGCGCCTGGACTGGTCCCCCACAAAAACCTCCTCATTACCCTCCAAACACTCTCCCTTGTATACCTACACCCACAAACTAATTGCTTAAGTACTCACCTTCCAACTCAACCACTTCCATTCGCTCTCCCTCCTCATCCTGGCCTACAAACTTCAAGCCTTGCTCTTCAAAACACTTTTTCAATTCTGGATTGACCTAGAAGACCAGAAGCAAGAAAACCCATGATCTCTTGTGTTTGGATTACATAGAAAAGCTCAACACCTACAACAGCATTTTTACCTCAAATCTGTGTCTGTGTCTCTCTTCCAAGAAATCATGATCCCCGTACAGCTTCCCTGCACCAAAAGGAGGATGTTTGTTAGAGGAAATGCCAAACAGTTCACACGATGCCAAGTTTTAACAAGTTCATATGAACAGCATCCATCAGAATCTGCCACTTCTAGAGGGGACCAAATTCACTGATCTCCATTTCGCTACTGGAACAAAGCCTGCAAACACCGACTGTTCAAGGATGCTTTAACACTCCCAGGTCTCACTTCCCCATACCCACCATACACGCACATCATCCCCAGAAAACACTTCCAAAAGAGGTAAGAAATGCCTTACTCATGATTGAGTTCTTGGTTTGGAAGAGTGTTCTTCTCTTGCCAAGCCTCATGGTCCCACCCATTTGCCCAGGATTATGTTCCGGCATGTCTATGACCTGCGAAAAGCATTCAGAGAGAGAGGTGAGAATGAAGAAGGAATAACAGTCCCAGGCAGACTCTGAAATGTTAAAGGGGGATAAAAACCCCAACATCCATACAGAAAACAAGCAAACCACCCCAAGGAACACTGTCCTGACAAGGTAGACCAACAGAACTAGATTAGTTAGCTGAGTTATTCTAGTAAAGGCCGTACAGAACATACAGAAGGTTTGTGGGTATTCAGGAAGCCTTAGCACAGGGAATGGTCTCAGTCAAAACCTATAAAGATCCCATACACTAACACTGCACTATTTTCTGAACTGAATGTTAAACAAACAAACAAGTAAATTTACAGAAAAAAAATCCCCAAATCAGAATCAATTATACTTTGATAAATAACTTCACAAGCAGGTTTTCTGAAATATTTTTCCTTTTGAGTAACATTTGAAGTTCTAGCAGAAGCCAATCGTTACAGTGGACCCTGAATGAAGCACAGAGCCTGCAGTCTAAGAAAGGCAGGTTCAGAAATCCATCCACAAATGTTCCAAGGAATTCATGACGGTCTTACATTAATTTCTGGGATCATAATTAAACAACTATGCAGTGGAATTTGGATATCTCAAAATCTTTCACATTTGCTCTGTGAAATCAGTTCGCTTTCAAACTGCCCTTTAAGAACCTTTTACCTCTTAGAAAGCACCGTATGAAAAAGTATAATTAAAAATAAAATATTAGCGTTTCACCTACAAAAAGCACTGCAACCTTCTATGAAGCAGCAACTGCCATACAGTTAACTAGGCAAAGACATTTTCTTTTCACACTAGTAAATCCTGGAAGACAGACTTAAAAGCCACAAGATGTAATAATCCAAGCTCTTAACTGCACCTACAGGTATGTGCAGAGAATTCCAGCACAGTAAGGATATGGCAAGCAATAATCATAAACTCACCACTGGATGAGCAGTTTTGGGGTCAAATTCTGTCGAGTTAGCATCTGCAATGCAACATTCATCAATCAGAAACGCGAAGTCCCTCATACCCTGACATGCATTTACAGGACCTCCCCCAGGTACAGTTGTGTCTCGTCCCCACACTTCTGGCAAGCAGCAGCCTTAACTGTGCTGAGCCACTCACCTGCACAGAGCTGCCAGCTCAGCCCCCAACACAGAGACGGGACTCTCTCAGCACTGTTCAGTATGAATTTCTGAGACTGACTGGAGGTTGCAATCTTAGGGCAACCAGTCTAGTGCAGTCGGTGACAAAAGCAGGGTCATTCAGTAAAAGCACACATTCAACAGCTTAGAATATTTTAAATAAAGCCAGGGAGCAGGAAGGGAGCAGAAGTACTCTCAGAAACATTTTCCCCTACCTTCACTATGAGCAAGACTCAGAATCAGGCTGAGAAACTAAATTTAGCACTCTGTAAAGGGAGTTTTGACACCAGGGACCCAGTCAATTCAAGCAGTGGAGCCCAGAAAACAATTCAACTCACTGAAGTCAGCGCAACTGCGTCGTCAGCTGAATTGCTTTTTGGTCCTCATTCCCACTGGCTATAATGGGAATTTAGGATGTCCAGTACACATAGGCACAACTCCACTTCGGTGTTTTATTCAGGAGCTGAACCTCACTCTAAGCAATAGAAATTTTTCTGTCATTATAAGCATGTCTTACTCCATTGATTTTTTATTTGAATAGGATAAGGAAATTATTCTTTTTCCTTTGAATTAGCAACAGAGATGAGGAATTTTACAAGCCTAGGAAAAAAAATAATTAATGAAAAATTAAAAATGACAGATATTTAAAAATTACAGGTATCACTCAAGCAATCAACGAAATGACCAAAATCCAGGATGGGTTTTGTGCAATTACCTTGCCAACCAAGAACACTGCGTGCAAACTCCACAACTGCTAACTGCATTCCCAAACAAACTCCTGCAGAAGGCAAGGCAGAACAGAGATCAAGTCAGGACAAGGACCCCTGAGCCCATACCGCAAAGCACACACACCTTCACAGAGCAGTCCTGAGTCAGAGGAAAACCTGGATGAGACACAGACCTTTGGCTTGGATCTGGGCTCTGTTCCCTCTGTCCCAAGTAGTTCTGACAAGTTTTACTCCACACGTCCCTTCCCCAGCCACTCGCCTCACACGACATTTCCAGTCTCTCACTATGTCCAGTTCATTTAAACAGTCACGTATTTCTTCATGCCAAGATCACCTCAGCCTCCTCTGAAACTTCCACTGAGTCTCCTACCCCCTCATTACAGAGATTCCATTTCATCACATCCCAGCCAAATCCAGCCACTTCGGAGTGAACTATAGCTGCATTAACCAGTTAAGCTGAGCATAGATCATTGCCTTCCTCAGCCACTTACTAGAAAGCTCTTGCTGCAGACCAGTTAGGCTGTTACTCAACCTCCTTCTTTTCTTTATTTCTTCTTACAGAGGAAACATGTTTCTCACCTAAGAAGGGTTTTTTCTGTTTTCTTGCCCAGGAAATAGCTTGAATTTTGCCTTCTGTCCCTCGAACACCAAATCCACCAGGAACCAGAACTCCGCTGCATGAGGAGGAAAAGATTCCATTCACACAGGGCTCACCAGCATGGCTCCCCCCAACCAGTACCACCTCTCTCCCATAAAAACTTGAATTTGCAAGGCCTCATTCCTGAAAAGGGCTTTAAAGTGCCCTGCGTGGCAAGGCCTGTCTGCAGCACAGTTTCTGTATGACTTCACACAAGTGGTCACATAATGTCACAGAATTTTCAGGGAAACATTTTATAAATGCGTAAAAAAGGTAAAAACCTTCCCAAGAAATCCAAAATGCAATGCAGGTTACAATACCAGAATGGTTCATGCTGCATGACCCACGTACTCTGCACCAAGCATGCCTGCAAACATACCACCCAGCAAGGCCCAGGCTGACGAAGCCGCTGGCTGCAGTGTCAAGTTGTCCTAACCGCAGGCACAAGGATATCAAATTCTGCAGGAAGTTCTTCATTCTCCTGGTACCACCCAAAGCCTGCTTCCCTGAGGGCTTCAAGCCCCACTTGTTCTTGTTTTATGGGCTAACTCTTGGCATCCTCTGCATCCTAATGCTTTTTCCCTTCTCATGCTCTCCTCCTAAAGAACTTTATACCACATTTACACCTTCCATCCTCTCTCTTTGGCTTTAATAGCCTCTGCATGGAACTGGCTGCTCAGAGAGGGGGTGGGGTCACCATCCCTGGAGGTGTTCAAAAAACACATAGATGTGGCACTTCGGGACGTGGTCTATTAGGCATGGTGGTGTTGGGTTGATGGCTGGATTTGATAATCTTGGAGGTCTTTTCCAACCTTAATGACTATGATTTTTATCCTTTCCCCTTATTTCCTCTCACCCTTTTTCCCCACTAAGCCTGTGCACATCCTCATCTGCATCATCATCTCCACTACTGCTGCCTTTCGCAAACTCCCTCGCTTATTTAACAATTCTCCATTTTACATCTGAATTTCACTGAGAGGCATCTGGGGCAATGTCAGAGTGTGCTGGCACAGCACCTAAGAAAACAGTCTCCAGTGAGGCTCTTAATTCCAAAATCGTCAATAGCAGCAACTTTATCAGACAAGCTCCAAAGAAACGGCCAGAGTATAAGAGTCTTACTCAGCACCACACAGCTTCTGCCACGCTTCATGGTATCGGACAGGTTCTTCCTGCAGAGTGTCTGGCTCCAAGTCAGCAGAGTCAATATACTGGGAAGAAATCCAAAAAAAGGATGATGAGATGCTGCCACAAGAGTGTAAATACAGTGTCTCCTTAATTCTCATTACATTAAGATATCATGATCCTCCTGGATAGCTCTGGGTTTGTTACCTACTAGATACTTGCTTATGTATTTTCTGGGCTGATTTCCTGTCTGCTAGTCAGCAGAACTGCTTTCCAGCATCATCACACTACAGATGCAGAAACAGAAGGCATGGTTTTTTGCCCTTCTCTGCAGCTCTGCTGTCACAGAAATGAAGATGATGTCCATAAGACCCAGACTCATTAAATATGAAGTCTTAACGGAGCACAGCAAGATAGGAACACAGAGCTATGCAGACAGAAACAACCACACAGCAAAAAGAAAACCGAATCACTACCTCATCAAATATACATAATTTAATCTTCAAGAGAGACTGAAGAACAAATAGGGTCTGGTGAAACACAGACTGTTGTAATTAAAGGATGACCAATGTTACATATGGAAAAAACTGCAAATTTTCCAGTTTCTCATCTCTGGTATCTCTGAACTTCTGAGTGTTCTGGCAGGCTGCTTACCCTTCTGAACAACCATTTTTGTCTTGTCTTTTTTTTTTTAAGCTTAGAATACTGCTAACAGTTCTTTAGCCCAATGCGAGATGTCCATGCACAGCACTCACAGAACCCACTCCCATTCCAAACCATACAGACACAGCTGTGTCAGGAACTACCCATAGACGCATGCACAGGGTTTACCCTTCACCACTCTTACTTGATTTTCTTTTCTCCTCTACCGATTTTGTAAGTCGAAAGGTGACCCAAACATAGAACAGTGCTGTTAGAGAGCAAGCACCTATTTCCATGACTCACCAGCATCACGAAACAGCTGGACGTTTAGAAAGCATATTTAAATTAAAGCAAAATTTCTGGCAACAGATACACATTTCACCTCTTTGGGGCATCTAGCTAGAACCAAGACCCTTAAAAGCACCTGTGCAGCCAAACCAGCACTAAAACTAAAATAAAGTCTGAGGCAGGAGCACCATAAAACCTGTCAGTACGACAAGGGTAACAGCAACAACCCTAAAAAAAGGATGACTTTCAACAACTGTCCGAGGAATTAAAGCAAACAGTCCCCTCCTCAAATATATCTACCACTATCACAGTTCAGCACGGAACACTGAAGAGTTCCTATCAATTATACAGACACCTTGTATGTCTTACAGGATGAAAGGCTGGTTTGCTTTGAAGCTGTTTTATGCCTGCCAACAGATGTTCTGATGCTGTAATCCAAGGACAAATTTAAAGTTCACTGGCTGAATCAACTCTCCCTTTCTGTCCATGGGTTTGTAATTAAGATGGGTAGCACTGTAGGTGTATTGGGAGGGGAGGATTTTTATACACATGCACCCACCCCTACCTTAATGTCAAGTTTGTGGTTGATAGCCAGTGCAGAATGCTCCAGTGCTTTAATGACAGATGCGTAGGAATCTGAAAACTTGGTGTATTTGCCAACAAGTGCAATGGAACATGTTTCAAGGAGACGGTCATACCTAAACAAAATCAAAACTCAAGGGTTATTTCGTTATTAACAGGAAACGGGGGCAAGAATCACTTGCATTCTCTTCAGCTTTTCAAGTAATATAAACAGTTGAAAGTCTGTCCAACTAGAGAGATGATGACTTTGGAAGAGATCTCTTTTGTAACAATTATGACTTAAAAACATCAAAGCAGGAATAGAAGAAAAGGAAGAAAAAAGAAAAAAAAAACAATGACAGAGAAAAAGAGTTGCAGAAAGTAATGTGTAAATTAACTCATCTGTCCTTATGCTGAAAAGCCATTTTGAGTAGATCCAAGCTGTCTTTTTAGGGAGCTGCATTAGATTCAGTCTGCAGTAAACTATTAAGAGAGGATCAAAGCACGACTCTGCATATGTTTGTACTGTACAGCATCTTCCCACGCTGCTTCTGACTGAGTTCACTTTGGAAGTCATTTCTGTATTTCTGTCTGCTAGAGTCCTACGGTCATACTGCCTACATGTTCAATCCCAGCATCTGGCATGGGATTTACACAACATTCTTGGCCACAGCTAAGGGACTGTTTAAAGTTCATTTCAAAATTGCTAAGTACCTTCAACCCAGCTGGTTACCAAGGGCTTTCCCCTGTCAAAAGAAAATGTTCTTGACAGTGGTGACTTGTGTCGTGCATATAAAGGGAAACATACAGATCTTGAAAATTAATTTCTTGTAAGGACAAACATATTTAGTGCTTCAGAAAGGGCCTGAATGGCAACTGAAAAGATTCAATTCACTATTTCCCCACCAAAAAAAACAAAACAAAAAAAAAAAAAAAAACCAACCAAACAAAAAAAACCCCACACCCCAACAAAAAACCCAGTGTCCTAGGAGTCTCAGACTCAGTTATGAAACAGTTGTTTCACTTGCTTGGAAGTATACTCAAAAAATACATTTTACTGACATTCCTGACAACTCCTACATACGCCTAAAGAAGGATTTCACCACTTTGTAACATGACTAGGGTTTTTTGCATAAAAAGAGAGGGCAGAATTGTCTACCTTTTAATTACTTCAAACTGGTTTTGATGTAGACAGTACACTACCAACACAAGATAAGAACTCAATAACATTATCTTACAGGATTCTCATGTTGAGGTATTTTTTTCAGTTAAACGTCTAGGAAGAAAATGCATTTTTGTAGTTAAAAAAAAAAAAAAAAAAAGGAAAAAAAAAAATTGACTGCATGAGAATGCTTGAGGAACATGATTAACACTCATAGTGCCTGAGAAGAGAAACTAATCTGGAGTCTTAAATCAAACTACGCCCAGCGGTGCAGCTCACCTGTCAGCCATTTCCTTCCACTTCATGAGCATCCTCCTGGGCTGCCTCTCAATGGGAAGGTCAAGCCTGTGTCTGAAGTAATCAACAACTCCCTGCTCCTCTAACAACAGAGGAACCCGGTAGATAGAAGAGACATCATGCACACAGATGACCTGTTCATAAAATATGAATGTCATTAAAACAGATCTAAGTGCCAGTGCAATTATTTTTAGACAGATACTCAGAGACCTTCTGTCTCCAGCAGGCAACCATATGACCACCTGAACTTCCAGGAAATAATACCTGTTGAATAACATAACATATGAATAGCTTAGGACTAGTTTCCCCATACTTGCAAAGGTCATCCATCAGCACTTCCCAGGTATTACTGCTCACTGGAGCTCCTTGGGAAGGGCTGCAACAATACAACCTAGCAGTAAGAAAGTCAGCTGCTATGCAAGTTATGCGACCACACAGCGAAGTTCAAAGAACGCTTCAAGGAGACTTCTCCTGCAATACAGCCATCTTGGTAATCCCAACTAAAACTACGGTTACACTGCCCACAAGCCCAGCTTCCTCGTTTCCCACTGCTGTCATTCTTAACCAGGGCTCCCAGTCTGATTAAAGCCCAGGCAAATCTGTAATCTCATACTCAGTCTTTCACTAAAAGACAAAATTTTTCAAGCTCCGGATGGATTGGAAGGCGGCAATATTTAACCTAGAGACTGTTTGATTATTTTCCAAGGTCCACCTCAGACCATGCTATGCAGACTAGTCTCAGTATAAGAATCACGCTAACATAGAATTCTTGCACATCACATAACATTAAAGTGAAGCAACGCTTCTCTCAAACACCGTTTCAGCTTTTCTGTGCAATCTCTCCTCATGCAATCTTGGGCAGAGGAATAATGTTGTAAAAAGAGCTGTGTACGAAACACATTCATGTATCCTTCAAACCTAATTTTGGGCAACTACTCTTTGGCCTCTGATACTGAAAAATCTCATTCT